ACTGTCAGATCCAGGGCGCTGCTCCTTCTCTGCTGGCTTGGCTCCTCCTTCTATCCGGCCAGCATCTTTCTGAAGAGCTCCCCCTCCTCATGGCCAAGTTCCAGCTCCTCAACCAAGCCCCTCTGGTGCTCTCCTCCCACCCCTGGGGACCTGCTCAAGGCAGCCACCCTCCTGGCCCGAGATCTGAGATAGTCCCTCCTGCCTGGGCTCTTTCTCCCCGGAGTAGACAACTCACCCAGGTCTTCCAAAGCCCCTCTTGAGCCCACATCCCCTCCTGCAGCCATGCATTTCCCTCCCACAGCAGTGGAGGGCCTCTCACCCTCTGTACTCCACCTCCTGCTGTCTGTCCCTCCCTCAGACATGTTCCCATGAGGAGGTGTTTGGCTCTCTTCAGCACAGGAGCTGTGCCCTCATTTCCTTCATACTCCTCCCCAAGCTTGCAGGTCACCCCACAAACTGGAGGGATCCCTCTCAGTCACAACGTGAGCTCATTTTCCTTGTCCCATAAGGGCTGGCAATTCCCCTGGGAAATGACTCTCCCTATTTACCTCCTCTGTAACTTGGGAACCTGCTGGTACCTGGCTCCAACCGCCACTGACTCACTAGTTGGCTGGTGACCACAGAACGAACAGTTTTATTTTATTTTATTTGCTGTTCTGGGGATGGAATCCAGGGCCTCACATATGCTCAGCAAGTGCTCTACCACTGAGCTACACCCTCAGGCCCCAGAATGGATATTTTTTGCCCTGAGCTCTCTCAGAGCCTCTCCTGGAAATCCTGTAGGCCCTCACCCTCTGAAGGGCCACACTGGGAGTCACAGCTTCTCTCTCCTGGCCTGTGTCCCCTCAGATGGGCCTGTGGGAATTAGGAATTGGTTCTCTGCTCAGGATAAGCCAAACACCTCTCTGTCCTCAGCCTCGGTCAGAGGCAACCCACCATGAGAGCTCCATCTCTTCACATCTCTCCAACTCACCAGCCCTCTCAGAACATGCTGCTCCCTGCTCTACCTCTCCATGCTTCAAGCCCCGTCCCCTAGAAGGGTACATCTGTACCTTCTGCCTGGAGCACGGGGCACTCCATGGACTGGTGCCTCCACCCTGGACCCTGCCCCAGCCTGCTCCCTCCTCACACCCCACTCAACTTCCTGCAGGCCGAAGACCTGCCATCACTCTCCTGCCTCCATGGTGCTGCCTCAGCCCCAGCCCAACTCAGTCTTCACCTCCCCTCCCTGCTCCCAAACCCTGCAGATCAAGTAGGTGAATCCTGCTCTATTCCATGTGTTCATTACAAAATCATCACAGTTTTTCCTTGTGTTCTAGGGAAGCTGCTTGGTGATTTGTCTGACCTTCTAAATTAAACGTGAGCTCCATGAAGTGAGAGACTTTCTCTTATTTGTTAGTCTTAGTCTTTTTTTGGGGAGGTGCTGGGCCTCATCTCACAATGGCCCATACTAAGCATATGTTCCCACTGAGCTATGCCCTCAGTCTTGGATTGTCTTTTTTTTATTTGTTTGTTTGCATATCCAAAAGCTAGTCCAGGTGCCTAGCACATAGTAGGCCATCGACAGATAGGTTTTGAAGGAGGAATGAACACATTCATAGAAGAGAAATGAAAGGCACAAGGAACCTACCATGCCAGGTAAGGTTGGGACTGGGGCCACTGCACAGATGGCTTTATCTATATGCTTTGTGGGCCTGTAAGGGGGAAAAAAATAGACATTCTCTTACTTTAAAAGTTTCAAAATTTGACTTTCCTTTCCTGGGCACATATCCTGGGGAACCTCTTGACATGTACACCAGGAAATATGTGAGGAAGTTGTTCATGGTGGCAAAAAAAAAAAAAATACAAAACCTAGGAACAATTTCAAATTCTGTTAGCAGGAGGAGGCTGAAGTAATTGTGGTATATATACAATGAAAATAAAAGAACTGAAGCCAACGTGTGTAACTCTCAGGAACAATGTTGTAAAGCGAGTTAGAATAAAGACCATTGAAAAACAAGTTGGAGAGTACTTACAATATGGTTCCATCTATAAGTTTCCTAAACATGCACAGTTAAACACTAAGTTGTTTAGACACACAATCATACATACCTGGTTAATTCTTAAAGGAAATCAAAGGAATGATGAATTTAGAAAAACAATATGATGGATTGGAAAAAAAAAAAACCAATTGGCCATCAAAAGGCAGAGTCTATTTTTCTACTGCTTGAACACAGGAGTGGCCTGGGATGTGCTTTGACAAATGGGACAAGTAACATAAGCAGAGGCTTAAAAAACATTTGTGCATGGGACTGCTCTCTTGCTGCTGGGAAGCCTTGGGCTAGCATGTGAGGAAGCCTGACTATCCAGCAGGAGAGACCATGAGGAAGAGAACTGGGGTGTCCTGGCTGTCAGCCCACCAACCGCCAGGTATGTGAGTGAGGCCACCCCAGAAATCCCAGCCTCAGGCTGAGCTGCCATCCGCCTGCAAGCACCTGTGAGACTCCAGGCAAGACCAGTGGAAGACCTGCCTGACTGAGTCCAGCCCAAATTGCTGACCTACAGAGGCCAACAATGACTGTTTTCTTCAGCCATCAAATTTGGGGGTGGTTGGATAAAGTGCCAATTTGTAATTGGCACTGCTTCACTAAATCCTGATTAAGTACCAATTAATCATCTTTGGTGGGGAGTAGCAAGGATATGACCAGGGAGAAGCACAGAGGGAATCTTAATGGAACTGGAGATGATTCCTTTTCAGTGGGCAAAGAATGTTTTTTTTTTTTTGTAACACACACACACACACACACACATATCATATAGATTCGTTTGCATGCATACAATACTTTTTAAAATTAAAAAAGAGATCCCTGGGGAAACTGATGAAAGGTTATTTTGGCAGAACTAAGCTTTTTCTTGGTCATATGGGATATGAAAGATGCCCTATATGCTATCAAAAAAATTCATTAGACAAATTTGTCACATGCACATGACATTTTTGATCTGAGCAGTCACCAGTAGAGTGATGACCATACAGAGTGGACTTTAGTCAGGGAAGCTGTCAATCTTCACTATGAAATTGTGTTACATGTCTGGTCCCAGAGCCACCAACCTCTCAACAAGCATACTGATGGTAGGTTCTTGGGTCCCACTGGCCTCCACCAGATAGAGGGAAGCATCTGTGCAGAGCACCACACATTTCATCTGGGATTTCACTGGTCCCTCAGGAAACATTTTCTGTCCTTTGTGGATCAAGAAGTATTTTAGGAAGTGAAGACTTTGGCAAGTACATCCTTCAGGAAGAGCAACGACTCCAAGGGGGAATCCTAGAGAAAGTAACCACACAAGTCTGTCAGCAAAGGGCCCAGGAGGACCACAGGCACTGGTCAGGTGGCCAGCAAGTGTAGGAGAGATTTGTGGAAGGTGAGGCAAAGTCAAGCCATGCACGTTCTCTATCAGTGAACCCAGGAAACCCAGCGCCCAACAGGCAAGAACAGCCCCTCCAGGGAGCCCTTCCCTTTATGGAAAGGAGCTGGGGAAGAGGAGAACCAATCCCATGGAGTCAGCAGAAAATGAAGGGAGGCTACAACCCAGCCAGGGGCTGAACTGCACTGAACACAGGATGTGAAGGTGGATGGGCCGGGTGTGGTTTCAGAAAGAGAGCAGGTGTGCGTGTGTGTAGCCAAACAAGACTTTATCAATATCTAGAAAAAATGAGAAGAAGCTGTTGGTCAAGGGCTTATGAAATGGCAAACCACTGCTTCACTAATCCCTGTTAAGTCTGGTTATAGGGAGCCCCTCCCCTTGAGGCTGATCCATCTAGGGGAAATGGACAGCACTGATTTCTGCACTTTTGGAGCTGGACCCCAAACCTTGGGACTCCACCAAAGTGCCCCCTATTCAGAAGAGCTGCTGGTCTTGCTTTGACTCTTTACAAGTCTCTTTATCCAATATCAGAGTTCCTGGTGCTTGGAGCATAGGTGGAATAGCACAGAAAGAAGACTCAAGACTCACTATTTTGAGAACCTGGGAGATGGGGGGAGGAGATGGGAGGCTGCAGGACTCCCACTGTGCTGGGGTGGCCTCAGCAAGAGAGCAGTAATAACAAAGTATAATAACAAAGGCAAAGGTCACATTCCCAGGGCTTGGTACAATGTCAGGCACAGAGCATGCACCCAGTAAATACATGAGCAATGGGAAGTGTTGGCACATATAATGTTCAGTAAGTGTTTGCAGAATGAATGAGGAGAAAGCAGGACCAGCTGCCCAAGGTAATTATGAACTTACAGATAACAGAAGGTCCAGAGGCTCAGAAACAAGGTGGCAAAGCAAGTTAGAATAAAGAACATTGGAAAACAAGTTAGAGAATAATCAGAATGTGGTTCCATCTAAAGTTTTCTAAATATTCATAGCTAAACACTCCACATGTTTAGAGATACAGTCATAGGGTCCAGAGCTACTGGAGTCTCACTGACCAGAGATCCACCAGGTGGTCTGTAGAGAGGTGGGGGATGGTAAGGGCTCACCTTCAGCCAGGTCCCACAGGGTGAGCACACCGTCCTCACAGGCCAGCACCAGGTAGGAGGAGCAGCTGCTGAGCTGAGAGATGACAATGGGCGCAGCACAGGGCCACACACCCTCAGGGTCTAGAGGGAGGACCATTCATCAGGCTACCCCCAGACCCGGCCCTGCCTATCTCCCCTCCTTGACAACCTGAGACCCAGACTAATGCCTGTGCCCCAGGAGCACCTGCCTGGACTCCACCTCACTCCTCTCTAGAGAGTATCACTCTTCCCTAGGAACAAGATACTGAGTCACAGCTAAAGTTTAATGAAGGATTCCTAGGTGCTAAAATTTGTATAAGGCACCCCACAGGAATTGTTTCATTTAATTTTCAAGAGGGTTCTATGAAGTAGGTCCTATTAGTATCCCCAGTTTACAGATGAGAAGACTGAGGCAGAGGAGTAAGTCATCTGCCCAAGGTCACACAGCCAGTCAGGAGAGAAGCACAGATTAGAAGCCAGGCTGCCTGGGAGAGTGACAGATGGAAAGAAACTCTTTCTTTGTGGTTTTTTTTTTTTTTTTGACAATGTGAAAGTATAACATAAGTGTACAGCTCAAGCACTTACCGAAGCAAACTTGCTCACAAAACTGTCCTCATGGATTTGCCTAACAGCAATCGTCACCCATATTTCCTTAGTGCTTTTCAATTTCAAAGACTTTCACATACAGAGATTCTGGAATTTGTTCTACACAACACACACATGTAGTAGATCGTGATGGTGTAATGAATTAGCTCTGTATTTCAGGTGAGAAAACTGATTTGTGGTATGAAGTGACTGGCCCAGGACTACACAGTTTTCAGACAGCTGGGCAGGGATGATCCGAGCCCACCCTCCTTCTTTAACAGGGGTCCCTTTCATGTAACAAGGATCCATTTCATGCTTTAAATACAAGCCTTGCTGCTGCTTGACCCCTGGTTGCTTATTTCTAAATTGATTTTTTTCCCTTTCCTTTTCTCCCCTGTCCCCTCCCTAACAGTGGGGGAAGTAAAATTAACATTCTTCCTATCCTAAGTCAAGTTATCTGTCCTTCCACCCCTGACCATAAGAATAAAGAAACTCTGGATCTGTAAACAGAAACAACAGCTCTCTCAAGGATGCATCTTCCAACAATGCTACTTGGTATACACGCCACCTTTTTTTCCTATGGTGGTGAGGATTGAACCCAGGGGGTGCTCTACCACTGATTTACATACACAGTCCTTTTTATTTTCATTTTAAGACATGGTCTTTCTAAGTTGCCAGGGCTGGCCTTGAACTTGGTCATCCTCCTGCCTCAATCTCTTGAGTTGCTGGGATTACAGGTATGTACCTCTGTGCCCAGTTGTTGTTCCCCCTTTTAAAGCCCTCTGTTCCCTGTGACATTTAGAATCAAAGCCTGAGACCTGAGTCTACTATGTTTCTCAATTGCTAGCAAATCAGTAAAACCTCTTTTTCCTTTTTCTCAAAACCCTGTCCTCATTATTAGATTTGAATCAGGGAAAGGACTTAGATTTCAGTATCACTTTCTCTATGGACCTGCCTCTGGGCTTTGTCCCTCTTGTCCTGTCATCTTGAAGAAACATGACAGTTTAGGGACAGACCCCTGAGGTCACACCATAGCTCTGGCTCCCTAAAGCAACAATGATGTATGGACCTCACACCCAGCTAAGCTGGAGAAGGAGGTGTCCTCAGGGCCCTGAGCTTAGGCCACTCCTGTCACACGGTAAAGTACCAGCTTTATCCTTCAGAGTTCGGTTGAGTGAATAGAGGAAGAAGTTGTGATGTCTGGTCCAGTGTATGCCAAGGATGCAGGCTACTCCTGGGAACGAAGAGAAGAAAGAGGTATCACATAAGAAGCCTGGTGGCCTTCTGCTCACATGGAAGGTGTCTGCTCAAGAGGAAGCTGGTTGGAAGTCTGAAGTGGTTTTTTTCTATTGGGCAGCAAATGACAGAGGGGTGAGTTTCCTGAGTCAGAAGGGCTGAGCACCAGGGGGGCTGTTTCTAGGGTCCACTCGCCTTCCTGGGCAAGAAGGACATTTTAAATGCCCCTGAGCTGTTTGCACATCTTCTATAAAACTGATGTCCGCTTGCTTCTAGGTGAATTCACAACTGAAACAGTCCAGCAAACATGTGCCCACGTCCTCAGCTCTGGCAGTCACTCCCTGAAGGCTGTACTGGCCTCCTGATCAGAGAATCTGGGCTGAGGAGCTACAGATCCAAACAGGAACTGTTAGGCTCCAGTTGTCAAGCTATTTTCCGCCTTCATTCCCTCTTACCATAAAAGGTTGGCGTGTGGAACACCCCTAGTGCTTATTGAGGGATTTCCCTGCAGTGACTCCTTGCCAGGGCAACCATCTGCTCACCTACCTGAGGGGCTCCTGACTTCTGCTGGCATTGCAGTGAGGCAGCTGGGAAGGAGGAAGTGGAATGTGGCCGAACTGGGAAAGAGAGACAGAGTCAGAGACACGCAGGCTCCTCGGCAAGGAGGATGGCAGAGTCCCGACGTGACCAGACATGCACACATGAACCTCCCCAAGGGCACAAGCCAATCATGGTCTAGATGCTGGTCCTGGGAGGATGTGTAGACCTTGGAGGAGGGTGAGAACAGGTAGAACCGTGGATCACCCCCAGACCAGTATGGTGTTGGGCAGCTCCCACTAGAGCAGGCTCTCCTTTGGTGAGCCCTCTGTTGTCCAGAAAGATCCTTTAAAGAGCAGTCTTGGGTGATCACAAATGCTCTCTTATCCTGGGTGCAAAACAGCCACAGGTGTTCTGATAAACTGAGTCTTTTTTAAAAAGGTCCTGATTTATAAGGTTTGCAGATTTCCATGGTATAGACATTCCCATCAAGTTACAGCATTTTAACAGCTGTCTGCAAAACCCCTAAATGTCTCCCTAGGCAGTAGGAGTGGCTGCAGCGCACCAATGAACCTGGCCAGGGTTCTGGGTCTGTCACAGAGAGCAGCCAGGTAGCTGCCATTAGGGTGTGGTCCTCAGACTTTATGTCCTGAAGTGAGGAAATCTGAGGTCTACTTGGCAGCAAGATGAGACTCACAGCAGCTGTGAAGAGGGCTTGTCCCTAAAACCAGCCCCACTACAGCTACTTCAGATACCTTGGCTCAGTTTTTACCCATACAACATGGAGTTAATGAGGTCTAACTGCTGACAGGTGTACCCATTAAATGTATTGTGATAATTAAACAACTATATACCTAAACCACATTACATTTAGAAAGGCAGGAAGGATATGAAGAAAAAATTGTTAACAGTGGTGACTTTTATTTCCATCTTTAGAATCTTCAGTGTTTTTCTTTAGAAAATCAGGAAAAAAAATTTAAAGAGGAGTCATACATAGAACTTAAAACTTATTTCTCATCTCTGTAGGTATATATTCTTTTTTTTTCCTTCCCCTGCCCCCTCCACTGGTAGTGCTAGGGATGGAACCCAGGGCCTCTTGCACATTCTAGTAGGAAAAGGCTCTACCACTGAGCTATGCTCCTTGCTATTGCTCCTTTTAAATCCATGCTATCTGCCTTTGATCTCATTAAGTTAAAGCAATCTCCATTCAACATTTCAAAACAATCTGCTGAAGTTCCCTATATTTCTCCAAACCCAAAAGAGCTTATTTGGGATTAGTTGGGTCCTTGGATTGGTCCCTGTGTACCGAGACAGCTGAAGCTCCAGGGGCTAACTGGGGAGCAGGTTTACCTGAGTGGCTCCTCCTCCCATTCCTCATCCAGGAACTTCCTGTAGGAGGTGTAGAAGATCTCTGCTTGGTGTTCCCACTGACTCTCCTTGATGAAGTGATTCTGCCCAGAGCCCAGCCCATAGCAGTCTTCTACCTTTGCAAAGACTTCCAGAGGACTTTTAAATGTCGTGCCTTGGGATGAAAAAATTCCAGAATTAGTCAAATCACCTGACTTCCTCTTCCTAATCTCCCCCAACTTTTTCTATGCTTCCCACTTTCCTGAAGAAGCCCCATCCTTGGAAATCTTGCTCTGCAGCGGGTCTGTGAGCCCAGGAGTTCAGTCTCTGTGAGCCTCGCCCCTGCTCCACCTGTCACAGAGCCCAGGCAGAAAGCAGTGTTCTCCCTCCTATGTCTCCTATGACCATCTTTCTCACCACTTCTGGATTATAGAATGTCTCCCGAGAAGCCAGGGAAATGTTCACAGTGCTGCTAGATCACTTTAGATCACTGTCGCCATCTCCCCAGCTAAGCTGGGCCTAAACCTGCCAGTGACCATGGCTTTCCAGCCGATGCTGAGGACCCACATCATTCATTTGACTCGGCTTCTTCCTATGCTGATGTTTATCCAATTACCTTCCTTGAAAAAGTCTCCTTTCTCTGTCAATCATTTTTTCCCACCATTTCATTTCCCAATAACCTTTAATTTCCTTCTTTTTCAATGGTTCCTATTTCACAGTAACATTGGGTGATTTATTCTGTGGGTCTAAACCTTGAGTTTCAGCATTCAGTTCTCTTTGGAAAGTGCCTGGGTCCCTTGAATTGCCCCAGAAGCTTCACAGTGCCCCAGGCTGCTTCCCCAGAGACAATTATCTTCAGTTTCTTCCATAACTTTCTGAGGTTTTATAAACACCCAGTATCATATTATACTGGAGTAGTTCTCAAAGAGTGATATCAGACCCCCAAGGGTCAGAGTCACCTGGGACAGGAATAGAAATGCTGATACTATTGGAACAGAAACTCTGACAAGACCCGCAATCTGGGTTTACTGGGTCTTCCAATTGAGTATGATAAAGCCAAACTTTGGAAATTGTTGTTATGCCTAAACCTTCTGTATTTTCACTTAACACAGAAACTTGGAGACCAGTTCACATTAGTAGAATAGATTCTTCTCACTGTTGCTTATTTTTATTCATTAAGCCTTTTTCTTATTGTGAAATATAACACACAATCAGCAAAGAGCATGACAATACACATCCTAGTAAATTATTCTAAAGCAAACACCTGGTACTTCCTACTCAGGTTAAGAAAAAGAATATCACCAGATGCCTAGAAGCTTCACAGGGCCCTTTTCCAATCACAATCCCCAGGAAGAGTGGCAAGCACTCTCCTGTTTTAAGTAGCCACTTCATTGCACTTATTTATACTTTACCTATCTAAACACACATCCTAACTGCTATATCTTTGTTTTGCCTGATTTTGAACTGTACATAAGGAGAGCCATATTGTATTAACACTATCTGCTCTCTTTTTCTCTCTATCGTTTGTGAAATGTATTCACAATTTGTTGTATTATATTATGTTGAATGAACATGGTACAGTTTTTCTGATAGACAGTTGGTCATTTCTTATTTGGCGCTGAGAAGGGAATTTAGGGATACAGAGAGAAGACTGAATCTTAAAAGAGAAATGTCCATAAACCATTGGTATGCACAACAAACCACTCAGCCCATGTCCTTGTGCTACCATCTTGCCTGAGACTCACCTTGATGAAATGCAACTAAATTGCAAGGTAACACAGGCATCTGGAGGGGCCGCTCCTTTAGGGAGAATGTGCATTTGAGACTTTTGTGACTGAGAAATGACCCTACCCTCATTATAATAGTAAAAACACAACTCTGGGTGGAGATTTAAGATGCTAATGAGACACGCAATATATGAAGAAGCATGATCAGAACATGCGAGGGCAATGTACAAGTGCAAGGAAAGCTGGAGAGAAGTTGTAAGACCCTGTCCCTACTCTACCTCCAGTCCATTACTCTCCCTAGATACTGTCTTTTGCCAGAGTAAGGCAAGGTGACTCATTCTGAGATCTGTCCACACTCCCTCTTTCTCGAGTGTATACATTTTGCTTTCCAATAAAGCTCTTCCTTTCTTTCTCTACAATCTGACTCATGCTTACATTCTTTTCTGTGATGGAGTCAAAGACTTGGAAGATTTCTTCTGCCTCTGGAGAGACAAGTTTTTATCTCCATATGGACAACTGGAACAGGGGGCGGTGACATTGTTTATTGAAATGACCACTCTTTCTCCACATCTCAGTAGTGTGTCCACCTAGCCTCAAGTGTTCATTTATGCATGGCTCCATTCATTTATGCAATTTTGTTGCATTTCATCAAGATGCCTTTCAGGCAAGGTGGTGAGCACAGGAACACAGGCTGGGTTGTTTGCTGTGCATACCAATGGTTCATGGGCATTTCTCTTTTGAGAACCAGTCTTCACTCTGAACCCCTAAATTCTTCTTATGTTTACGTTTATCGTCCCTGTTTTGTTCATCCATTTTTATGTTCACTATTTCTTTTTTTTTTCTTTTTCACTTTTTGCCAGTGTCAGGGATTGAACCCAGGGCTTCCCACTTGCTAGGCAAGTGCTCTACCACTGAGCTACACCCCAGCCTCTATGTCTATCATCTTTACCTATCACTAGTTTTATATTTCATTTATATTTTTATTATTCACTTACCTTTTCTTAATAAAAGTGAATTGGCTATTCTTGGCCCTTTGCACTTCTGTCTTTGTTTCTTATTCCTTGTAAAATGTTCCTTTTTATAAATGTGCCAGATTTTATCTAACCAATCTGCTGCTCTCCAAATAATGCTGTAGTAAATTTGGATGTGGGGAGGTGATAGGGAGGGGATCCAGGATTTCATGCATGCTAGGCAAGTGCTCTATCACTGAGCTACACCCCCCCACACACCTCCAGTGATCATGCTTGTGAGATCCTGAGAAGATAACACTCTGTATTCTCTGCCTAAGATGCTTATCCCCTCTGCTCCTCTTGACCAATGCCCACTTAATCCTCAAAACCTTGCTCAAATGCCCCTTTGTTTACTCTCTAGGCAGAGTTAGCCTCTCCTTCCTCTGTGTTTTCATGGGCCTACATGTTCCTAATTGCTGTACTTCTCCCTTGGTGGACAATCAGCCTCTAGAGTGCAGGAGATGTGACCTCCTCATGTTCATGCCTGATGCACTATGGGCACTCAGTAAATACTGATCAATGCATTAACACAGAGATGCAGGAATAACGAACTCCAACCCACAATTAAATCAACTAAATGAATTAATACAGGCATGTAGGAACTGACAAATTCCACCTAGCAACTAGAAACAATGTCTCGCCTCACCTTCCAATTCTGTTACTATATCTTTGTAACATGTATAGATGGATTGATTGTTTGTTTTTAGGCCCCAGAGCATAAGTTCATAAGAGTTTTTAAATGTCCTCTTTAGAACTATGCATTTAATTAGACATTGCTGCTAATAAATAGAAAAAAAAAAAAAAGGAAATGTGGAGACAGACCAAGGAGTGGGAAAATGGAGAAATCAATAGCAAAAGGAAAGAAAGAAAGTATTAACTGAACTGTAATTACCTGTTATAGGTTTAGGTGGTTTGATCTTCATTATGGGAACTGGAAAACTCAACTTAATATCACCTCTAAAATAAATGTTCATATCCTAAAACAAGGAAAAGGATCCATTAGTAAGCCAACAAAGGAGACAATATGAAATCATTAAAAACTCTCATTCTTAAGAAGGCAGAAAGAAATGGAAAAGAAAGAACAGATGGAACAAATAGAAAGTAAATAGCAAAATAGTAGATTTAAACTCCAACATATCAATAATTATATTCAATGCACATGGTCTAAACACCCGCAATAAAAAGGCAGAGATTACCAGATTGTATTAAAAAATACAAACCAACTCTATGCTATCAAAAAGAAATTCAGTTGAAATGTAAAAAAGTAAATGTGGCCGGGAACTGTAGCACATGCTTATAATCCCAGCAGCTAGGGAAGCTGAGGCAGCAGGATTGCAAGTTCAAAGTCAGTCTCAGCAGCTTAGTGAGGCCCTAAGCAACTTAGCAAGACCCTGTCTCAAAATGAATATAAAAAGGACTGGGGGCAATTATCAAGAATACAAATAACAATAAATGTTGGCAAGGATATGGGGGAAAAGGCACATTCATACGTTGCTGGTGGGACTGCGAATCGGTGCATCTCCTCTGGAAAGCAGTATGGAGATTTCTCAGAAACCTTGAAATGGAACTACCATTTCACCCAGTTATCCCACTCCTGGGCATATACCCAAAAGATTTAAAATCAGCATACTATAATGATGCGACCACATCAATGTTTATAGCAGCTCAGTTCACAATAACTAAACTATGTAACCAATCTAGGTGCCTTTAAACAGATGAATGGATAAAGAAAATATGGTATATAAACACAATGGAATATTACTCAGCCATAAAGAAGAATGAAATTATGGCATTTGCTGGTAAATGGATGGAACTGTAGTGTATTATGCTAAGTGAAATACACCAACCCCAAAACTAAAAGCCAAATGTTCTCTCTGATAAGAGGATGCTAATAACATGATAAGGGGGGCAGGGAGAATAGAAGTTCATTGGATTGGACAAAGGGGAATGAAGGGAAGGGAGGCGGAGATAGAAATAGGACAGACAGTAGAATGAATCAGATGTAATTTTCCTGTGTTCATAGATGAATACACAACAACCATAAGAACAAATTTAAAAAATTAAAAGACTGGGGATGTGGCTCACTAGTTAAGCACCTCTGGGTTCAATCCCCAGTACCAAAAAAAAAAAAAAAAGAGCAAGTAAGTAGGCAGGCACAGTGGCACACAGCCATAATCCTAGCGGTTCTGGAGGCTGAATCAGGAGGATCTGAAGTTCAAAGCCAACCTCACCAAAAGTGAGGTGCTAGGCAACTCAGTGAGATCCTGTCTTTAAATAAAATACAAAATAGGGATGAGGATGTGCTCAGTGATTGAATGCCCCTGAGTTCAATCCCAGGTACCCACCACCAAAATAAAGGAAGTAGTAAATGTGTTACAAGTATTTTTTAAAAAATTTTTAGTTGTAGATAGACACAATACCTTTATTTTGTTTATTTATTTTTATGTGGTGCTGAGGATGGAACCCAGTGCCTCATACATGTGAGGCAAGTGCTCTACCACTGAGGTACAACCTTAGCCCCAAAAGTATTTTCAAAAGGTATATCTTACTAAAACTAATCAAAGGAAGGCTGGAGGCTATATTAGTATCTGACTTAGAAGATTTCATTCAGAACAAAGAATATTACCAGGAACCAAAGGGTCAGTGAGTAATGATAAAATGGTCCATTCATTGGAAATATAACATTCCATAAGATTATACATCTAATAATAGCTTCAAAATACCTGAAATAAAACTCATAAGAGTGAAAGAAAAAGGGCTGGGGTTGTGGCTCAGTGGCAGAGCGCTTCCCTAGAGCAGGTGAGGCACTGGGTTCGATCCTCAGCACCACATAAAAATAAATAAATAAAAATAAAGGCATTGTGTCCACCTACAACTAAAAAATAATAATATTTTTTAAAAAAAGAGTGAAAGAAGAATAAACCTACAATCTTAGAGATTCCCCTTTTAATAACTGAGAGAATAAGTAGAAAGTCAGTAAGAATACAAAAAAGACATAGAAGACTTGAATAACTTGACCAATAACAGCAGAAAACACATTCTTTTCAAGTACACTTACCAAGATAAATCATATACTAGACATAAAACAAGTCTCATTAAACTTGGGGTTGGGGTTGTGGCTCAGCGATAGAGCACTCACCTAGCATCTGTGAGGTGCTGGGTTTGATCCTCAGCACCACATAAAAATAAATAAATAAAAATAAAGGTATAGGGGCTGGGGATGTGGCTCAGTGGTAGTGCACTTGCCTAGCATGTGTGATGCACTGGGTTCGATTCTCAGCACCACATACAAATAAATAAAATAAAGGTTCATCAACAACTAAAAAATATTTTAAAAATAAGTAAAGGTATTGTGTCCAAATACTATCTATATCTATATCTATATCTATCTATCTATCTATCTATCTATATATATATATATATATATATATATAGAATTTAAATTACACAAAATATGTTCGCTGATCACAATGGAATAAATTAGAAACCAATAAAAGAAAGATATCTATAATATAGCTAATAAATATACACTAAGTAATGCATTGGTTAAAGGTGAAAAAAGCAAATTAGAAAGTATTTTGAATTAAATAAAAATTAAAACATATCAATATTTAAAGAATGCAGCTAAAGCAGTTCAGTCATCCCTTTTCTAAAAATATTTATTTTTAAGTTGTAGTTGGACACAATACCTTTATTTCATTTATTTATTTGTACATGGTGCTGAAGATTGAACCCAGGGCCTCGCATGTGCTAGGTGAGCACTCTACCGCTGAGCCACAACCCCAGCCCTCAGTCATCCCATGGTATCCATGAAGGATTGGCTCCAGAACCCTTGGATACCAAAATCTGTGATTAGCTTAAGTCCTAAATGTAAAATGGCATTGAATTTGCATACAATCTGTGTATATCCCTCAGTGTACTTTAAATTGCCTCTACATAATACCTAATAATAAATACTATTATATTTATATACCTAATATAATATAAATACTATATAAGTAGCTGTTATACTATACTGTTCAGGGAATATGACAAGAAAAAAATCCAGTACAGCCTCAATATTTTTAAAACATGTTTGATCTGACATTGGTTGAATCTTCAGATGTGAAAGCTGGCTGTACATATATAGGTTTATAGCAGCAAATGCAAGAAAAGAAGAAACATCTCAAATCGATGATCTAGGTTTCTTTCTTAAGAAGCTAGAAGATAAGCTAAAAAAAAAAAAACCTAAACAGAATGAAGAAAATAATAAAAATCAATTTGGAAATCAGTGAGATAGAACACAGAAAAACAATAGAGTTTGGTTTATGAAACCAAAAGTTTGCTCTTTGAAAAGATTAATAGAATTGGCAAACTTCTTGCCAAGCTGACTAAGAAAGAAAGATAAGACACCAATTCCCAGTATCTGGAATGAGTATCTGATACCACAACAGGTTTTAGAAACAGTGAAAGAGTAATGAACCACGTTATGCCAATAAATTTGACAAATTAAAAGTGAACAAATTTCTTGATATACACAAAATATAAGAGCTTCAAAAAGCTTTAATTATCTCAATAGAAATTATTAAAAAGCTTCTCATGTCTTAGACACGTAATAAATTTCCTGTGTTCTTTTTCCTGTTACAGGAAAAAAAGAAGTAGGTAACTAGAAGAGCCTTTATCTATTAAATAAATTGAATGTGTAGTTCTACAAACAACAACCCAGGACCAGAGGGCTTCTTAAGTAAATTCTATCAACATTTTAGGGGGGCTGGAGTTGTGGCTCAGTGGTAGAGCACTTGCCTAGCATGTGTGAGGCACTGGGTTTGATCCTCAGTACTGCATATAAATAAATAAACAAAATAAAAAAGATACATTTACAGCTAAAAATATTTTTAAAAATTTTTAGGAGGAAATAATGTCAATTCTACATCAATTCTTCAGGAAATAAAAGAGGCAGAGCACTCCCGAGCTTATTACATCAGGCCAGCATAACCCTGATGACCACAGCCAAAGATGCTACAGGAAAACAAAACTACGGATTGTCTCTCATGAAGACAGGTGCAAATTTATCAAATTTTAGCAAATTGAAATCAGCAAACCATTAGAACTTACAACAAAGTTCAGTAAAGAGACCTGCCGCGCTGGGCCTAAGGTTAGTGTGGGTGCTGCTGGGGCAGTCACAAAAGCAACAAAATGTAAAAAATTGGAAAGGAGGTGGTGAAATGATTTAGCAGACCAAAAAAGCTAGGCTGGTGCAGTGAGGCTAGTTGGGAGGCTAAGGCAGGCGGAACACTTGAGTTCAAAGACCACCCTGGGTAAAAAACGAGACCCCATCTCAAAAAAACAAAGAGCCTCATTCAGTCTACTAATCACCTGATTTATACTGAAAAATTCCTAATATACAAGAAAATAGCAACCCCAGTTATCTCTGGAAGTTTCTAGGCATAGAGGTGCACATATGTAATCCCAGTGACTTGGGAGGCTGAGGCAGGAGTATCACAAATTCAAAACAAGATTTAGCAATTTAGCAAGAACTAAGCAACTTAGCGAGAACCTGTCTCAAAATAAAATATTTTTTAAAAGGGTTGGGGATGTTGCCCAGTGGTTAAGCACTCCAGGTTCAATCCCTGATACCAAAACAAACAAACAAACAACCACCAAAACAACCTCCCATATGAAGCATAAAATGTCAAAAGCAAAACTCTGAAAGTATTAGAAGAAAACCCAAGAGAACTTATTTCTAACAGGAAAAGCTTTCTTAAGTGCAAAAGCCATGAAGAATAAATTTAATGTTTCAACTATGTTAAATTTAAAACTTCTTTATAACAAAGAGCATACAAATAAAGTAAAAAGGGAAGTTACAGATTAGAAAAAATGTAACTGAGCAAAGGACACATATAAGCAATTCACAAAAGAGAAAACCTCTATGTCCGATAAAAATATGAAGGAATTAATGAAAATTAAAATGAGAGGCCATTTCACCCCACTAGTTTACAGTAAAACAAATTAATTGATAATATCAAGTTCTTCGAAGCTGTGGGAAAATATTGATTAAAAGTAAATTGTCAGGCCATTTTTGTATGACTATTTCTTAATATCTATATAAAAACTAAAAATACATAAACCTTTGAGAGGCCCTCACTCAGGTATATAAAGAAGAATATATGAAGATTTGCATGGCTTTGTTTAAGAGCCTTAAATTGGGGACAACCTCAATATCATCAATAGACTAGTAGCCATATAAGCTACAGTACATCTGTAATAAAGTTTATTGACATGCAAAACTATACTAATAAATCAATGACAAAAAATACAAGTTTGTAAGAAAAAACTTACATAATTCAATGGCCCTTATTTAGAAAAAAGTCGCATAAGACATAACTATACTTTTTCAAAATAAACAAGTATAAAAATATAAATACACACTAAAGATCTAGAAAACACACACCAAGCTGTAACAGGGGTCTGCTTCATACTTTGAACATAACCCTCGCTGCTCTGCCACTCTGGATTATTTTTAAATGGACATTTTTCCCCTTTCTCTTCTCCTCACCCCCTTCCTATCCTTAGGGGAAGCAAGATTAACTTCTTCTCATCCCAGGTTGTTACCTGTCCTTCCATTCACAGGCCACAGGAATAAAGAGCCCCGACTTAGGAGCTGGCACCCGTGGACCTAAGAAAGGCTACCTGTGAATGACGACAGGGCGCAGCTGGAGTGTGGCCGTGGAATCCTTAAAAGTCCACCCCTAGGAGTTAGAATCACAGCTTCTGGGACAGGAGTCCCCTGTGTTTCTCCCTTGGTAGTAAAGCAGTAAACTTCTTTTTTTCTTTTTTCTCAAAACTTTGTCATTTTGGGATTGGCAGTGGGGACAAGGACCGAGTTTTCAGTAACAGATCTAATATGGCAATTACCTCTGGAGAGGTTCATTTAATTGAATGACTTGACTTTTCCAACAGTGACGTAGTCATATATTATTTGTATAGTTTGAAATATAATGTAACTTAAAAAGGAAACAAAACAAGGGTGCTGACTGAAGACTTTCACTTCAGGATTTGCCACTACTCTACTGAGATCCCTAGTTGTCAAGGGCTAAGAAGATGGTGTGGTCCATCAGATGGAGAGTGGGGTGCTTCAGGGAAGCTGCACCATCCTCCAGGGTATTCTAAAACAAAGGTGAAACCCCCGAGTTATTTGTCTTGGTGGATTAGGCTGTTGTTTTTGTAAGGGGCAAATCCAGGTTTTATGGGCCCTCTTTAAGAAAAAGAATTCAAAATTATGAATACAAAATGCCCATGGCGACACTCAAAGCACCCAAGATGGGGGACTGTAACAGAGGGAAGTTAGAGTGAAAAGCTAACAATGATCCTAAGTGATTGTAGTTAAAATATGTTATTTTTGCCAATTTTACAAAAATACAAGACCATGTGAATACATTGCTAGGGCCCCTTCCAGGCTCTTGGAAGAAGCCAATGTGAGGGGCCCTGAAATTTAAACTCCCTTCACTCAGGGTCAGGAGGTCATCTTCAATGGATATGAGACACAAGATGAAGTCACAGAGAATCTGTAAACAGTGTCCTGGTGGGACATTTACCAGTAATTTGATATTTAAAGTATGTTTCAAGTAAAAATAAGAATCTTTAAAATATAATTTAAATCTCTTTGGAGATTTTCTTTAAAGTTTCTTACCATTTCTAAGTTATCTATAGGAGTGGGATCGACAGAGTTCTGAGGAGAAAATGAAAAATTAATTCACAATGCATTTGATATATTTTCCCCTTCCCCTGTAATCGCCTGAGATGCCCGCTCCCCCTACACCATTTCCTTTCGTGAGAACTGAATTCATGCTATAGACATGGAAGACCAATGTATGGGTGATCCTCTGACCTGCAAGATTTTAAAACATGATCCCTCTTCTGTAGGATCTCAGAATGTAATTGGGAACAGGCATGGTGGCATGTGCCTGGAATCCCAGAGACTTGACAGCCAAGGCAGGAGAATTGCAAGTTGGAGGTCAGTCTTAGGAACTTAGTGAGACTCAAAATAAAATTTTAAAAAGTTTAAAAAACTTAGTTGTGGAGTGCTTGTCTAACATGCCTAGTTCAAAGCCAGCCTCAGGCATTAAGCAAGTCAGTGAAATCCTGTCTCTAAATAAAATACAAAATAGGGCTGGGGATGTGGCTCAGGGGTCAAGTGCCCCCTGAGTTCAATCCATGGTACCAAAAAAAAAAAAAAAAAAAAGAAAAGAAAGAAAAGGAAAAAGAAAAAAAAAGATGCAGGACAGGTGCTGGGGATGTGGCTCAAGTGGTAGTGCGTTCGCTTAGCATGCGTGAGGCTCTGGGTTTGATTCTCAGCACCACATAAAAACAATATAAGGATATTTTGTCCACCTAAAACTAAAAAATAAATAAATATTTTTTAAAAGATGCAGGACAAGTCTCAGGCATCATATAATTAAACTGAAATGGTAGCGTTCCTAATTTGGAAGAGAATATACATATTTCTATTTATTGAGAACACCCCAATTATACGTAGTCTGAGAAATTTACTGGAATTTCAAGGCATGAAAGGATTATTTCAGCCCAAGAAGGAAAAAGATTACCAGTGGGGCAGAAAACAGAACAAAAGATCCTCCTTCCAGAGAAATATCCGGGTGGAGTCTCAGTGCATGAAAGATACTGAGCTCCCACTACTAAATCCATCTCTACCTTTTAATATTTTATTTCATCCAAAACAAATATATTGGGGAGACATAGACACTCTTCCTGTTGTATTTTATAGCCATCAGAGGCCTTGTTCATCTTGAAATTCTAAGGCTAGATGTGAGTCCAGGCTGGGAAGAGACATACTGGTTGAAAACAAAGATGTTCCCTACCAGTTGCGTCTGTCTGGCTTTTTTCTTTGCATTTGAAGTGACTTGAGGATGCTCCACTTCCTTGAGCCAAGACTCCTTGGGCAACTTATACACATCCAGCCAAACATCTCCAACTCCTGCTTGGGAAACCAAACAGCCATTGAGCAACTGCAAGCAGGCCAAGAGTTTTGTCTGAGGAATGACCTATCTTCTCAGAATTGCTGGCACTTCTGCAGTAGGTACCCATGAAACAGCAACTTTGATAGATTGAAGGCAATGTAGTTTTGCAATGATTACTGCAAGTCCTCGCAAGCCAAGTACCTTTCCCATAGAGTTGGATGGTCAAGCTACTGCCATCTAAGGGAAACGGGCTTCTCACACAGCACTGATGCAAGACAGTTTTTTACCAAATTGTGTGCTCCAGTTCACATGCTTTATATTTCACCACAGAAAATTCTACTGACATTTTGCCCTAAAGTTAAAGCCATCTGGGGAAAAAGTAGTGTATCTGGAAGCACTGGAGAGGCCCTGGGCAAACAAAGGGTTAGAATTGGGAAAGATGTCCCCAAAGAGTTCTTCTAATAGTTGAGGAGATGACAACCTATGGGATGGTTGTGGGACTACTATCATGTTCTAGAAACAGGTTCGGTTTCTGTACAGAATACCAACCAAGTTGGGAAAGGTTGCTCTCCCAGAATATAGGATCCTGCCTAAATGTTTCCTTTAAAAAGTAATTATCAGTGGGCACAGTGGTGCATGACTGTAATCCTAGCTACTCAGGAGGCTGAGTCAGGAAGATCACAAGGTTGGCTAGCCTGGGCAATTTAGTGAAACCCTGTCTCAAAATAAAAATAAATAAATAAATAGATAGATAAATAAAAGGGTTCTGGATATAGCTCTGTAGCAGAGCACTCCTGGGTTAAAATTTTTTTTTTAGTTATCTGGAAACCTTAATTTCAGACCCCAGAACTCAGAAAATGTCTTTTGTTTTAAGTCACCAATGGAATTTGTTATGACAGCTAAAGGAAATGAATATAGATAAAACAAAAATTTCTTTTGATACAAAAGCATTATAAAATATATCTTCCCCAAGCATCTAACATTTGAGGGCCCTTGGGAAACAGTATAAATAGAGTTCCATATACTATATGTAAAAATAATTGAAATTTGAAAATCAAGATGACAAACATTTACATAAAATATGTCCATTAACACAGTGCTAATTGCAGCAGGCAAGATCAGATGATGAGTACAAGGACTGAAAGGAGAAATAGGATATTCACATCACGTCAAAGTATCTCCCCCAAAATGTTAATTATTATAATGGATTTAATGTATGTCCCAAAATTCTTCAATTCTCCTTTCTCCAAAAGGTGCCTAAATCATCTTCTCCTGAGTGTGGTCTTGACTTTGTGACTTCCTCCTTACAAAGAAAAGACAGGGAGAAACAAAGCTGTGCAGGTGCTTGCCTACATTCCCATTACTTGAGAAGCTGAGGCAGGAGGACCACCTGAACCCAGGAGTTTGGGGCCAGCCTGTGCAACACGGTAAGACCCCATGAGTGAATGAATGAATGAGTGAGAGAAAGAGAAAGAAAGAAAGAAAGAAAGAAAGAAAGAAAGAAAGAAAGAAAGAAAGAAAGAAAGAAAGAAAGAAAGAAAGAAGGTGGAGGGAAGAGGAAGAGGGAAAGAGGAAGTAAATAAAGAAGGAAAGAAATAAAGGAAAAGAAAAGGAAAAAACCAGCAGGTAGTACTATAATGGAAGAACCTGGCAAACACCATGATACCACTTTAGTAAGTGACTGAGGTTCATATCAGCCAAATGAGTCACACTGCTGTCACATACCCCTAGATATGATGCAATGACAATGCTTTGCCTCGGCACATCTTCCCCAAATCCTTAGCCCCAGTTGAATCATAAGAAAAATAATGTACAACCTAAAATTGGGGGACATTCCACAAAATATCTGACTGGTACCTTTTCCAAGTGTAAAGGCCATGAAAACAAGGACCTATCAAGGAACAATCACTGATATGAGAAGACTAAGGTGAGGGCTGTGGCTCAAGCGGTAGCACGCTCGACTGGCATGCACGGGGCACTGGGTTCGATCCTCAGCACCACATAAAAATGAAATAAAGATGTTGTGTCCACCAAAAACTAAAAAAATAAATATTAAAAAAATTTTTAAAAAAAGACTAAGGTGATAAATAACTAAATGCAATATGGTAACCTGCATTGACCCTTTGGGTAAAGAAATTATATTAATGAAAAAACTTATGAAATTGTGAGAAATAAAATTAATAGTTATTAATAGTATTATATAGTGTATGTTGATGCAATACTATTAACTATCAACCACAGATTATTTGCCTTCTATCCACAAATATATCACCACCATGTTAATGTTGGTATTAGGGGAGCTGGGTGAAGGGCATAAGGGCAACTCTGTACTATGTTTGCAACTCTTCTGTAAACCTAAATTATCTCTAAATAAAAGATTTGGGGGGGAAATAATCCTTTGGAAGAGCTGCAAATCTGAGTCTTCTTCACACTTTGGATAACCTTGCCTTGTAGGAGGAAGGCTGCAAAGTCCCCACCCTGAGAGATCGCCATCTTTACACAGGTGTTATGCTTGCTGGTATCCTCCTGAAAAGAAAGAGATACTGATAGAGTAAGCACAGTCTGGTAAAAAAGAACATATTTCAGGACCCTCTGTGGTTCACAGCCAGAATAGAGATCCTGTGAAAGCTTAGAACGTGAAAAGATGCTTCCCACTGCTTCACACACTTCATCTTAGTACAGGAATCAGATAAGATTGAAATGTAAGGAAGTGGAACTAACTTTTCTGTCTAAAGGGTTTTAGACTTATTTCCCGGGAATTTGTGGCATACATCAGATCTCCCAGTCAGGTTTGCAAACCCTCAGGTCTATGCTGGCACTCAGTTATTCAAATGAATTGCAATAAGTTCTTTTTGACACTGAAAACTCTGCTAGCTACTGAATGAAAGGCTCTATCTACACTGTAGCCCAGCCTGGATATAACCCTAGTATAAGACTTATTCCAATTTTGGAAAGTTGAGATGCTCAGTATGTATGGTTATGTTATCCATTTAAAGAGCTTGAAAACTACTAGCAAAATAAGGTGGCTAGACTAGTTTGGTTGGTAAGCTCACTAATTTACTTAAGGAAAAGTTTTTAGATGCACATAGTTTAATAACAATTTGTTAGGAAAATTTTCAAACATACAAAAAGAGAGAAAAGTATAATGAACCTCCCCCCCTTTTCCTTTTCTCATGATATGACAACTCTTGTTTTATCATCCCCTAAACTCAATAAATTACTATTTTTATTTAAGCCTAAATAATTTCTAAATATCACCTAATATCTAAATAATTTCTAAATACCATCTAGTGTCTTAATCAGTTTTTCAATTTCCTCAATTGTTTCACAAACTTAATTTATTTTTTGCAGTTGCTCAAGCCAGGATCCAAATGAAGTTCACAGGTTGCATTTAATTAACTTAATCTCTTAAGTCTCTTTTAATTTATAATAGCTTCCCACTTATTTTTGTTGTTTGTTTGTCATTTACTTATTAAAGAAACCAGGCCTTTTCTCCCCCACATTCTGAATTGGACTAATTGCATCCCCATAGTGCTGTTTAATAAGGTGGGAGTGGAGAGGGCAGACCAGTGTTCCCTGTAAACTGATAACTGGATCTAGAGGCTGATTATATTTAAGTTCAATTGTTTTGGCAGGAACAGAATCCTTCCTGCTGCAGAATATCAGGAGGCTCATAATAGCTGCTTGTTTCTCTTCTAGTGATGGTAAGGTTGATAATTGAGAACAGGTGTCATCCTGGCTCATCAACCAGGAAGCTCCCCATCAGCCATTTGTGTCATTATCTAGACAATTTCTCTGCAAAATGGCTTATAAAATTAAGATAGTTGGATTCTATTATTTCTTCTGCATTTATTAGAATTCTTCCACAAAGATCTATCACCCACTATTTGGTTACCTTGAAATACAGCTTATATGGGGGAAATGACTCCTTTATTAGTTTTCAGAATACTAAGTTTATACCTTAGAAACTTCAGAAGGTGACAATGAAGTTTAAAAAATCTTCTGAATCCGTGTTTTTAACATTTTTAGTATTTTTTAGTCCACCAACAGTACTTTTTTTGGTAAAGTCCATGTCTAGTTTAGGTATCATAATTATGCTGATTTCATAAAATGAGTATTCACTATATATTTTTCTTTAGAGGACAGTTTAAGGACAGTTAAAGGCACAGGTGTTATTTGCATAACTTGATAAATTTTAACAAATGCACACATCCATGTAATCGACAGCCTGTTCAAGGCATAGAACATTACCATTACCCCAGAAAATTCCCACCTGCCTATTTTGTTCAGTTACATCCTTATATGCAATCTATGTTATGATCTCCTTCACTAATAGATTAGTTTTGCCTGTTCTTAAATTTTGTATAAACAGAATCATGCAGAAAGCTCTGTTTTGTGTCTGGCTTCTTTCACTCAATGTGATGTTTTTGAGTGTCATTTACTGCCTTATGATCACCAGTGGTTCACTGTTTTGTCATTAAATACTGTGTATTCCACCGGATTATTATGCAGCATCACAACTTTTTATTTGTTCTGTATGTTCAGTTTTTTAATTATTAAGAATAAAGCTTCTGTGAATGTCTTATACAAATCCTTGTATAGATATGTATTTTCATTTGTCTTGGGTAAGTATCTAGGAATGGGATTGACAGGTCATTACTTAACTGGAAATTACTCACCTGGTTTTCAGTTTTCCACTATCAATATATGAAAGTTCCTATTGTTCTACATCCTCCCTAGTAGTTGGTATGGTCCATCCCTTTCATTTTAAGCATTAAAACAGAACTGTAATGCTATCTCATGGTAATTCAATTTGCATTTCTCTGCTAACTAATGGTATTAAGTACTTTAAAAAATTGGTTACTCATGTCTTCTTTGTAAAATGTCAATTCATGTCTTTTGCCTATCTGTTGATTTCTCTCTCTCTCTCTCTTTCTCTCTCTCTCTCTCTCTCTCTCTCTCTATATATATATATATATATATATATATATATATATATATATTGTGTGTGTGAGATAATTGGACATGATACCTTTATTTTATTTATTTACTTTTATATGGTGCTGAGGATCCAATCCAGAGTCTCACCGGTGCTGGGCAAGCACTCTACCACTGAGCCACAACCCAGCCCTGTTGATTTGTCTTTTTATTATTGATTCTGAGCTCTTTATGTGTTTTAAAGATAGATGTTATGTACGTGTATTTGCATATATCCAGACAGATATGTACTCCAAGTCTGTGGCTTGTTTTTTTCATATTAATATCTTTATTATTACTAAGACTTTTAAAGTTTGAAAGTTGCTAATTTGCCGGGGGGGGGGGCGCGGATTACAAGTTAAAAATGAGGGAGCTGGAGATGTAGCTCTGTGGTAGAGAGTGTTCTTAGTGTGAGGCCCTTAGTTCAATCCCCACCTCGAAAAAGGGGAAAAAATATATAGGGGAAAAAAGGTAAAAAATGAAGTTCTTGCAGTCTCTTGTGGTAAGCATTTAAGTAAACACCATATAATTTTTCAACTTTTCTGCAGTTTTGAAATTTTTCATGATAAAATGTTGGTGGAAGAGACCACTATGTTGTTTAGCTAGATCCCTCAGCAAATCAAAGGCTTACCACACATGTCCCCCAACCAAAGTTTTTAAAAATTTCAACTTGGCCAGATATAAAATTGTTTTAAAACCTGTAAATGGCATATTGAGGAAAACTGGACTTTTTTACAAAACACATTTGTCATCACCAAAGAAAAAATACAGAACAGATGCTACATAGATATATAATTCTAGTTATCGGGTCAACAGGCAAAAAGCAAGCACTTAGGCTCTTCGGCTTCAATCCTTTGTTCATCTTTCACTGCTGGAAATTCATCTCTTGTTGGAGATCATGCCAGTGATGGGAGAGGTGGCGTGCCTGCACTCAGCCCTGCCCTGGCAGCCTGGGGAGTGGACCAGTGTTCAGCTGGTGGATCGGCAGCTTCTGTCTCTTTGCCACCTTGGTCTCTTTGCCACTTTGTGGTTTAGGGCTTTCTGGGCATCTCCATCTATAAATTGGAGTTGTGTTGCAGACCTCAGGTCTCATCTCCTTGACTTCCCTTCTCTTCACTGCTGACCTCACAGCATGAAGTACAGCATGGTGTGCAAGGAGCACTCCACGACAGTCATGGTCTAGAACCCTGATGCATGTTCTGTCACTGGTCTACCTAGTTCTCTTGCACTCTGGTTGTCAGCCCCCTCATCACTTCTCCCTGTGCACAGGAACTATCATCCCAAGGTGCCCATAAGATCCCCATTTATAGTAAGCTGGGAACCACTGCTTGAGTCTGGCTTTGGGGACGCTGTCCAACTCTCAGTCCTTTCCACTCTCAGTCTTCTGATAATTCTCTGGTAAGTGCATGGAAGACTAGCCCTATGGCAAGGAAGGCATTCATAATGTTAGAGCATTTATAACAGTTGCAGTTTGTGGAATATCTACTGTTGCGCTTGACCACCACCAGGCCCTGTAACATTCCCTGCCATTGCACCCTTTTCTTCAACATCTTGTGGCTCAATGGTAGAGCTCTTGCCAGGCATGTATGAGGCTCTGGGTTTGATCCTCAGCACTGCATATAAATAATTTAAAGAAAAAAAGATCCATTGACAATTAAAAAAAATTTTTTTTAAATGAGATCAACTCTCCAGTTCATACTCTGCAGGGGCACTTCCTGAAGTTATTCTTCCAAATATCTCGAGTAAAGGGAAAGAACAGGAACTTACCACTTCATTGATGGCTTTGATTAGGAAAAGGCTATCCTTATAAAAGTAAAACAGTCTAATGATACCTGAAACGGAAAAACAAGTGAGCATGTAAGACAAGTGAGCCAAAGAAGGTTGGCATTTGTATCTGACCTCTGAACTTGTCACGCACTCTTAGCCTCCTCCCTAGCCCCCACTCTGCCTGTGCTGCCCTTAATCTCTCCACCTTCCTCATCCTTCCACTTGAAATGTTGAGGTTGTTATCTCTCCTGGGCTACCTCTACTTACCTGACTTTACCCACAGAAGTCTCCTGAAGGACCCTTAGTCACACTAATACAGCCCTTGACCAAGCCACCTTTTGATGTGTTTTGTCACATCATCCCCTACTGTTTCACACCATTGTCCATGTGGCTTCTGTGAAAAATTCTTTTTGCCAGGTCATAGATTCTTCGAGGGAACACATCACATCTTACCCTTCCATATGCCTCAGCCCCAACAAGCTCCTCATGTGGTTATTTCATTGAATTGATAAGTAATTCTGTCATTCTAATTCCCAATTAGCCCAAGGGCTCCAGTGTATGATCATCACCCCCCATGACCTCCTACCTCTTTGTTTAGGTACCTCCCAGAACTCATAACTTGCCTTTGTACTCATAATATAGACCTCATAAAGTATCTGACCAGGTGAAAGTCTAATTCAACCCAATAAACACTCATGAGCTATCTGCTCCAAGCCAATGCTGGGGACACCAAGGTGGTTTGCCTTCAAATTTATCATATTGAGGCTTACACAGAAATGAAGCACAAAATAATAAATCTAAACCTTTCTTTGAACCAAACCTCTTCTGAGAATCATTCCCACCAACATCCTCCAGGTGCCTCAAATTGTGCATGTTCAAATGGAATTTTTCAACTCAGACCCCTAAAATCTTATTCTATAATTATTCTCAAGGAATTACAATCATCATCCTGCCAGTTAGCTAAGATGGAGTCATTTTTCTTTACTGCCCCCTCATACCTCCCCATCCCCCACCTCATACACATACTCCCTCACTCCTGTTTCAACATTATATTTCCATTGCTTAAACTTTTTATTTTCAGCTAATTTTAGACCCATAGAAAAGTTTCAAAAATAATACAAAGAACTAAAACCAGCATACTATAGTGATACACGCATATCAAGCTTTATAGCACTGCAATTCACAACAACTGAGTTATGGAACCAGCCCAAGTGCCTGTCAACAGATGAATGGAAAAAGAAATGGGGTTTTTATTCAGCTGTAAAGAAGAATTAAGTTTATGTCATTTGTCAGTAAATTCAGAGAACTGGAGAACATCATACTAAGTAAAATAAGCCAGACTCAGAAAGTCAAGGGTCAGAGTTTTCTCTCATATGAGAGAGAGAGAGAGAGAGAGAGAGAGAGAGAGAGAGAGAGAGAGAGAGAGAGAGAGAGAAAAGAATCTCATGAAAATAGAAGACAGAGAGAGGAGAGAGTTGGGTGAGGCATAGGGAAGTACTAAGGAATGAAATCTACCAAATTATGCTATGTTCATGTATGATTTATACCACAGTGAATCCCACTTACAATATACTAGAACCATTTTTCTTTCTATTTTTAACAGACCCTGCCTTGGCTCAGACCTTCCTCATTTCTCTCCTCAATGAATATAATAGTATTTCCTGATCTCTCTGCCTTTTATTTTCAAACTCCTGCCACAGTATCCCTTGTACTGTGCCAGTCTGGTCAAGCCAATTTCCTGCAGATAATTCTTTAGTGCACCTGTGAGGGTTGAACAGAGCCTGTCATTTAGAGAGATGCATGATTGCATAGATGACTCAAAGCATGCAGGAACATTCTGCCCTGTTTGCCCCAATATCATAAAGCCACTTCCTGCTTTCCTGGCCAATGCTGACACTTGCCTTCTCCTGTTTTGCAAAGTAGAGAAGCTCCCTAATCCCCAGCAGTGGTGTGGGTTGCCCAAACATTAAGGACAGGCTAGAGGGAACCCAGCCTTTTGGAGGCAAACAATAGCAACAACTCACTGATGCAGGACACTGTCTAGAGTGTTCTATACCATACTCCCCAGAAAGGCCTGGTCCATCCTAGGACTAACAGAAAAAAGCAAGCTCTGGTTTACATGGGTGGCAGAACTGCTGAGTACTGAAATTGGGTGGACTCTGGGGCTATACCGCCTGGTTTGAAGCCTGCCTGTGCCATTTACTTTGCACATTAACTCAAGTATCCCTCTTCTAAACAGGGATAATATATTGTACTTCCTTCCTAGGACTGCTGTAAGGATTAAATGGGCTAATGTATGTAAAATATTAAAATAGTGCCTGACACACCATACTTGAAGATATTAGCTACTACTGTATGACCAGGGGTGAAAAATCCATGCTTGGCCTCACTCATGCCTGGAAAGAAGCTCAAATTAAACTGCAGATACCTATATATTAAGCTAAAAAGAAAGATGAAGAACAAATAATACCCATTTCATCCAGGAGAGCAATCAGTATTTCATTTCCTAAATCTGTGGCCCAGATGGAGGTGACATCAACCTTAAGTTTCTCCCAAGTACATATTCGTTTAGTATTGTACAGATTATAGATGAAGAATCCTTTGCCTACTCCAATAAATACATAGTCTTGGGAAATAGCCATACAATTGGGCATTTTGTTTAGCTGGGGGAAAAAACAAACAAACAAAGAAAACAGAATTATTTTCATTCTCACTGTCTATCTTCAAGAAACACAAGGTACTTTTCAAAGGTTGAAGAGCTTTTTCTCCAAAGATCATCCCCAGACACAGTGCTCATCTAAAACTCTTACCCATATATTAAGAAATTCATAGCATTTCACTTTCAGGGGAAAGAGGCCAGAGAAAACAAAGAATAAATACACATTTGCAACACTAAACATGACCACGGCCCCGCACTTTTTCTAGTGCTCTATGGGAAGAACAACAAAAGAGGCACTGGCCAGTTGCAACTGTCAAGCCAGAGAGCAATTAACTCATTAGGGAAGATTTCTCAATATCAATAACAGTTACCTGAACTATTTTAATCAACATCAGCATGCATACAGCCTTTCAAAATTGCACCTGTCTTATTAAATGAAGGTTTCTAGTAGGAAGCCCTTCCCTGGATCAGGTGTTTTCACATATTAACATTCAACAGAGGGGCTGGGGTTGTGGCTCAGCAGTAGAGCGCTTGCCTAGCGTGTGCAATGCCCTAGGTTTGATCCTCAGCACCACATTAAAGTAAATAAATAAAACAAAGGTATTGTGTCCAACTACAACTAAGAAAAATGTCAAAAAAAAAAAAAAAGTTCAACGGAGAAACAGAGACTTCTGGCCAGCCACCAGTTCCCTACCTGGACTTCTGTCAGTGGAGGGTAGATAGTGAGCTGGATGCAATCAATCTCAGATTCCTTCAAGGTATCCCTCTCTTCAATAAGTTCCCATGCCAAGTCAAACACAAGATTCACCAGCTTATTGATCATTCGATAAGGCTGAGGCAGGGAATTCACCCCCTCATCTAGGTCCTTGATGACATAATCCTCTATGTTATCCTTAGACCAGTCCTTCTCTGTTGGGGATGGCACCTCCAGTGGTACCTTTTGAGTAAATGTAGGCAGCCTCATCTTCTGGGTCTGATTTCTCTTGGTAGACATCATAGAAGGTGGTACAGGAAACTTCTGTGAAACTCTGAAAGCTGAGAAGGGAAATAAGCAAAAGAAATTTGAGAAAAATAGGAAAGCAAGAAGTCAGCACATCACACTTCTCTAGCACAGTGGCCTCTGGGGATTATTTATTCCAGATACTGGCACTTTCCTTATTTAATCACAGGATTGCTACTACATTCCTAAGATGTGGTCTTCATATTAGAAGGATATCATAAGAGACAGCTAACTTCTGACCAACCCAGGAAGATAGTTGATATGATGGAAGGAGGGGAGTTTGGCACCCTGTTGCCTTTTGTCACCTGATAGGACAGTAGCTGTCATTTGTCCCCAATGGAATTCACCATCTCTCCTAGAACAAAGCCTTCTTCTGCTTCTCTGTATTGATAAATGACTGTGCTCAAGTCAGCCTGGTGAGAAGCCATGACTATACTCTTTCTTTCTCTTCCCTCAACCCCAATGAGATTCAGTTCAACAACATCAGTCCTCACTGTCCAATCTGTTGCCTTCTCACTTTCCCATTGCTGCCACACAGGAGATCTGCAGGCACAGTGCCCAGGACCCACGAGATTCTTCAAGGGTTTATAAAAATGTCTGCTAGGCTGGGGATGTATAGTGGTACAGCTCTTGTCTAGCATGTAAGAGGCCATGGGTTCAATCCCCAGCACCATAAAAGCAAAACAAAAACCTATACAAAAAGAAATATCTGAGACCTGAAAAAAATTACTAAAATGCTCCTACAAAATCAAAATAGTCATTTTTTACAAAAATATTTATAACTTATCAACTCTGGTCTGTATGTGTATATAAAAATTCAAAGAGAAAACAAGTAATCTGTAATTCAGAAGACTCAAAATTGTGTTTAAAAAGGATTCTCAATGCTACAGTTGAAAAAAAAAAAAAGCATTTAAAGGGGAGCCTGGGACACCTGTAACATGTAGTGGAGTAGAGTTGCACCATGAGAGTGTCTGAGGACCAGGGGAGTAATATAAAGGCCCTGATGCTATCATCATCTTTTCTTCCACACTGGAGTCCACTTGTGATGTTTCCCTCCAGTTGAAAGAACCACCTGAAGTAATCAGTGGGAATAGTAACCTGTTCATGCCACCAGCCAGGAAGGAAATCTCGTAATTGCCAGCTGGCTTTTGGCGTGGGGGAGGCGAGGGGTATTGATGTGGCCACTGAGCCACATCCTCAGCTCTTTTTTTTTCTTTTCTTTTTTTTTTAGACAGGGTCTTGCTAAGTTGCTGAGGTTGACCTTGAACTTGCAATCCTCCTGCATCAGCCTCCAGAGTCACTGGGATTACAGGCATATGCCCTCCAAGCTCAGCTGTATCCAAAGTATTTTAAAAACTCTCAAAATAAGAAAATAAATACTTCAGTTTTTAAAAATGGGCAAAAGACAGACACTTAACGAAAGAAGGTATGCAGATGGCAAATAGAACATTCAAAGATGTTCAGTGTCATAGGTATTAGATTCAAATTAAAATCATAAGATGCAATTACATATTATTGGAATGCCTAAAAATTTAAAAAATAGACTACACCAAATATTGTAAAGGATATGAAGGAACTGGAATGCTCATATACTGATGCTGAGAAAGTAGTACAAACAGTTTGGAAGAGTTTGGGGGTTTCTTAAAAAGTTAAATACATAGTTACCAGGGCTGGTGTTGTAGCACAGTGAAGGAGCACTTGCCTCACATATGTATACATATATATACATACATACCATAATATCTAGTTAGTCCACTCCTAGGGGTGATAGAAGGGAACTGAAAAATGTATGTCTAAGACTTGCCCATGTCATTACAGCTTTGTTTGTAGGCACATCACAGTGGAAACAATTCAAATATTTACCAGTAGACAAACAGATAAACTCTTGTACATTGTACAACTATTTTGGAAAATTTTAGCAGTCAGTTAAATGTATCATATAATTCAGCAATCATATTTCTATGTATTTATGCAAGAAAAAATAAAATTTATATTTCATATATAAATCTGTACTTAAATATTTATAACAGCTTTATTTGTGATTGCCCCAAACTGGAGACAACATGAATGTACTTCACTTGGGTATATGGATAATGAGCTATGGCACATTCACATTATGGAATCTTTCTCAGCAATAAAAATTACAAACTATTGATATGAACAACATGAATGAAACTCAAATGCACCATGCTAAATGAAAGAAATCAAGATAGAAAAAGCCACATGCATAGAAAAAAAAAGATAAAAATCTGTTTAAAAGGGCTGGGGTTGTGACCCGGCAGTAGAGCGCTCGCCTAGCATGTGCAAAGAACTGGGATCCTCAGCACCACATAAAAATAAATTTAAAAAATAAAAGTATTGTGTCCAACTACAACTAAAAATATATATACTTTAAAAATCTGTTAAATACACCTTTGGGGGGCTAGGGTTGTGTCTCAGTGGTACAGCTCTTGCCTAGCATGTATGAGGCCCTGGGTGAGCACCACATAAAGATAAACAAAGACATTGTATCCATCTACAACTAAAAAATATATATATATATTTAAAAAGCACATTTTCCTCATCTCATCATCAAATACATTAATGTATGTACTTATCAATTTACAGTGTAACTTACTAACCTGTTGCCCTAGGCCTAGACTTAGCACAGCAGTTGGTACCATGTGGCCAGAAGTCAACAAATTCTTATAGTTTTCAGCACTGCTGGTCCTGTGCTATGCAGGGAGAATACATGTGGCTTTCTTTTTCTTTTTTCTTTTTTTTTTTGTCATTAGGATTGAACACAGAGGTGCTTTACCATTGAGCTTTATCTCCAGCTCTGTTTTCATTTTGAGACAGGCCTTACTAAATTGTTGAGGCTGGCCTTTAACTTATGATCCTCCTCCATCAGCCTCCCTACTCACTGGGAATACAGACCTACACAACCACACCTAGCTACTTTTATCCTTCTTAAAGGCATGTCCCTCTGCAAACCATAAGTAATCCATGGGGCTGAGAGAATATACTTACCCAAAGTCTAGTTTCCCTCTTCTAATTAAGACCAGGTTCAGGATACCCACACCTCTAAAATTATGGCCCAAAAGATGCCAGGACCTGAATGAATCTTTCTGATTTCTTCCTGGAGGTATTCTTCGTTGTTAAGAACCCCTAGACCTGAAAGGTGCCCATAGCTGCATAGGGCATGGGCAGAATGTGGATGTGTCTTGGAGTATCCACACCCTATATGCACCCTTTTAGCGATGTAGGTGGGAGCAAAAGACCAGAAGAGAAAAGGGGGTGGGAAAAGTCAGGGGTCTAGTTGGGGCTACATTACCACATTCCAATTGTGTTTCCAGGTTTTCAAGGAGTCTAAGAAATCTAAAAGTGAACCTGGCCTTATACATATAAATGTACATTTGCCAAAGCAGGAGAACAAAAGATTTTATCTAATAATTTGTTACTCGATTTATACTTTTTAAATATTTAACCATATGATATGGCTTTCCATTTGTAAGCTTACCCCAGACCTGAAAATATTAGAGGAAGAGGATTACAAAAACAGAGGGCCTTGAGCTGGATGTGGCTCAGCGGTAGAGAGCTCACCTGGCAAGGTTGCGACCTGGGCTCGATTCTCAGCACCACATAAAAATAAAGGCATTATGTTGTGTTCATCTACAAAAATGATTCTCTCTCTCTCTCTCTTTAAAACAAAACAAAACAAAACAAAACAAAAAACAGAGAGCCTTACTTTGTGGCTGTAGGGGATACATCTTACAAAATTAAGGTCCATAGAATGAAGATTCAGTGGTGTAACTTCATTGTAATCTACTTTGCCTCTACTTTGTGCATGTCGACCCTTTTAAGGCTTCCTCAGATAATCATCTTTCAGTGTTCAATAATCCTAAGAGAAAAATCTCTCACATAATTTACCCGGCTCTCAAGTTAGAAATACACTCCAAGTATTGGCTCAGCTCTAACCATTATCAGACCTGGAGAGGGGAAGGTCGGGGGTGGGGGGTGTGGGGGGGGAGGCACTGCGCTGAGAAATGATGCCCTCCCCAAGCAAAGGCCCCAGGGGAGTTCTCTGGCTGGAGAGACCCCTTGGGATTCTCCCTGGGATTCCTGAGCGCCTGAGATCTGCCGGGAAGTGCAGAGCCCTTGGAACGCCTGAGAACGGGGAGACGGGCCCCTCACGGTTCGGTTTAGAGACCCAGCTGGCAATCCGAAGTCCTTGAACACCAAGAGAGCGGCCACACCCGATCTTAGGATCCGAGATTGAGCTCACCCGGCTGGGCGTCCCGGTGTCGCCTTGGTAACCGCTACTTCCGGTTTCTACCGGAAACCCGCTAGCAGCTCTTGGGAGGCGTGTCGGCCTCACGTGGGCGGAGAGTCTCAGCCCCTCCCACCCCGCAGTTGCCCGGACCCGGACTCCCCCCAGGGGCCAGCTGAGTCCCAGAGGACCCACGACCGACCCAGTGTTGCCTCGGGTCGGTGCCATGGACGCCTTCATCCGCTTCACCAACCAGACCCAAGGTCGGGACCGACTCTTCAGGTCAGTGCCGGCGGCCTCCATCCCTTCCTCTCTGGTTTCTCAGCACCCGAGAAGGAGGAATGAGCTAATAACCCGGGAAATCGAAGCAAGCAGGATGCCTCCAGCTCCCGCTGAGGAAGTTTGGTACAAGAGCCCCTCTTCACCTTCAATTCCGAGGGGCTGTGCACCCCAGCCGCCTAGAGGCCGCTGGCTGTGTGACACCCCTCCACCAACCCTCCTCGCTCCGAACTTTCTTCTCCTGGTAAAGGAAAACCTGGTAAAGGAAAACCGAGTTCTCCCCACCCAACATTCTTCCAAGGGATTTCTTTTAACTCATTATGTCCTATATACAAAACCTGTTTTTAAAACTTAGAATTGTAACTTTGAAATGGGCATTTATAGTCCCTTTGAAATAAATATTATATTTTAATTGTTCTTTTGAGAAAAATAATAGGTGAATGAATAGAGTGTTTGAATATATATGAAAATATCTATAAAAGATAGATGATCTTTTCCAGCGTATTTTAATAAGCCCATGTCGATTTAAAAAAAAATTGCAGAATTGAAACTTTGGGACATAGTGGGTTAAAGAGAAATTTTGGTTTGGCATTTGTGACTAGGGAAGCAAACTACTTGTTTCAAATACCCCCTCAAGGGGGTATTTCAAAATGCTTATGGAGAAACAGAAGTTTTATTTATTTTCTTTATCTTACACTATTGCCCAATCTGTGTGATTCACATACCGAGTGTGAAATAATTGTATAAACTCTAAAAACACGTGGAGAGAGCCCTTAGAACTAACTGCATCTACAAGGCACATGCTGTGCCCCTGAAAATTCAGTTTGTTTTGATTATTAATCCTTGCTCATGATGTTTCTTTTAGTATTTTAGTTCATTCCTGCAGAATAGTCACAATAGTTACTGTTGCAGTTTTACTTAACAGTATTCAAGTGCTAACACAAAAACACACCAGTAAGAATAGCCCCAATGAGACTTTGGTAAGCAAACTGTATCAAGTTTGTTCTCAATGCTTTGCCCATATTAACTTATTTAACCCTCATGACAACTCTGTGAAGTAGATACTTTCACAGATGGGAAACTGAGACAGAAGGAGGTTAATGGGTACTAAGCAGTGGAGTTGAGAGATACAAATCCACAAAGATTCCAGGGCCCACCTCTTAAGTGCTAAATCTTTCTAATTAATTTGATAGCTTTTCAAAATAGTTGCAATATATACAACCTTTATTAAAATAGAAAACTATAATTCTAGTATACCCAGAATATATCCTGCAATTTTATCAAGAAGGGTGTTAATTAAAAAATCACTTAGGATATATTTATTCAGCAAGATCAGATCTCTAGTGTTCATTTCCCAGCCCTCTTAACGATCTATATAACCTCCATGAACAAGCTGGTATTCATCAAATAATGCCATTTTCAGACCTACTCCTATTGTCAGATCAAATCTGACATGAGTAGCTTGAGCCCTCTGATCAGAAAGCACACTTTTAAAAAGGCAGAGTGCCTGGTTCAGTGACACACCAGCGACTCAGGCTGAGAAAAGAAGATCCCAGGTTCAAGGCCAGCCTGGGCACCTTGGCAAGATCCTGTCTCAATAAGAAGGGATGGGGATGCAGCTCAGTGGTAGAGCATGCCGGGGTTCAATCCCCAATATAAAAAAAAAAAAAAAGAGGAGAGAAGACAGATCTCTGTCTTGTTCTCCCACTATTTCCCCCTCCTCCTTCTCCTTCTCTTTTTTATGGTACTAGACTCAAACCCAGGGTGTTGTGCATGCTAAGGGAGTACTCGGCCACTGAACCACACCCCCAACCATTTCTTTTCTTTTACTTAATTACTAAAATTTTGGAAAATGTGCCACTTTTTTTGAGATTAATATTTATATCATAAAAAGGACTCAAATGCAGTTATAGGACAATAGGAACTGGCACTTACTTTTATTGACTAGACTGCCAGATGCATTTGGATGTTTCTGTGATATCCAATTTCTCATTAGTTATATTTATCAGTAAGTCATTGTTAAAGTAGGCACTCTCTTTATTGAGTATATAGTATTATTAAACAGGATTCTGTCTGTATTTTATATATAATACTTATAAGTTTTGAAAGGCAAATATAAAATATGTCTATACTAATTTGTGTACTGGTGTGTATTTTGTCCTTAATTTTTAAAAGATTAAACAATATTCAGACTGAAGATTTTCATTTGGATCTTGAATTTTGAATTTTGTGTCCTCTCACGTAAACAGTAGGTTAACTATGTGGTAGAATGGTTAATTTAAGAAATCTGAATGTGGGCTCGGGATGTGGCTCAGGTGGTAGCACGCTCGCCTGGCATGTGTGAGGCACTTGGTTCGATCCTCAGCACCACATAAAAAAATAAAATAAAATAAAGATATTGTGTCCTTCTAAAACTAAAAAATAAATATTAAAAAAAGAAATCTGAATGTATAGAATGATTTTTTTCTACACTGGAGAAAATAACGTGTATGGATCTTTGCAGACTTCACAGGGAGACTTTGGGGCAATATCCACTTCGACTACACTCATTTTTCTGTGCCAGTAAGGAGCCTTCTGGGGAGCTGTTCACTGCATTATTGCAGAGTCCTTTTTCATAATAACCTTTGGTTTGCATTTCCATTACATATTCTACCCTTTGGCCCTCTGCAGAATGACTGTTGCAGAATTTTGCTCTTGGAAGAGCTGCTGAGGATAAATCCTCTTAGAAACTTTGTCTTCAGAGAGATGTTTCTTTTTCCTTTACTTCATGAATTAAGTTTTATTTGGCTGGTCAATCATTTTCCTCATTTTTTTTCCATTTCAGAGCCACTCAATACACATGCATGTTGCTTAGATATTTGTTAGAGCCTAAAGCTGGCAAAGAGAAGGTGGTAATGAAGCTCAAGAAATTGGAGTCCAGTGTGAGCACTGGGCGTAAATGTAAGTACTCTGTCTCTTGAGGAACAGTGGCTCCTGGTTTAGAATCCTCAGCTTCAGACACTGTAATTCACAATGTGCTTTCAAGGTTTTAATTTCAAGTCAACCAAGTTTATTGATGAAGTTGACCAGTAAGGCTGCCTCATGGAACTCCAGGCCCAAAAATTTGAATGTTTGCCTGCAGACCATTCACATATATCATCCTGTGTTCACGCTTGGTGCTATGCCAGATCCTTCTGCTTGATCATAACAAGTAGGACATAAAATGTGTTAGCTCATCTTTTGTTCTTACAACCACAAAACATCTTGGCAATCCCTGGCATGAGCTTCTGGTTCCTGTGAACCTTTGTTTTATAGAACAGAATAGCAATGACCTAGACCACCTTCTTCTCTTGAGGATTGCTAGAGGATTGGAGGAATACATTTTCTTAGACAATTTACAAGGTAGTTTCATTTTAAAGGCAAAAAATGAAGCAGTGCTTTGCATTCATTTAACTTACTTTCATAATAAATCATCCTAGGAAATCCCATATTTCATATAGCAATGATATGTCTTGCTCCTCACTGTTGACAAGAACCAGATGTTGTCACAGCAGGCCAGCAGAAGTATTAGAATGGGATGTAGACCATCACATATTGATCAGTTGTTTTTGAGCACCTACTTCATAAAGAGACAGTTCTTAACTTTGTAGGAAAAATAAGATCATACTATAAACATTAAGACAAGTGCTGGATATGGTGACCAGGGTAAAGAAAGATGTTTTAGAGAAGGTAGAAAAATTGAGGTGTGGTTGGAGAGGCAGTTTCCACCAGCAAAGGCTCAGAACTGTTAAAAGCAAATCGTGTGTTGGAGGATCAGTGTCAAACTAAGAAACTGGTTTGACAGAGAAGACTTAAGCTGTCAAGCAGAGCATGGGAAGGGTGAGGTGAGCTTTTCCAGATTTGGCTTGAAGCCACAATTAGAAATTCTGTTTTAGATTCTTTAGATTGGTGGAGCTCAGAAGTCCTTTAGAGGTCCAGAAGGGGTTTCTTCAAGGTCATTCAGCCAGTTAGTGCAAGACCAGAATCAGAACCCAAATCTGTATACTAAAACAGTCATGACATGCCCTGTTTTGTGTTATTTTTGGTAAAATAATACCAAGCACTCTTGAGATTCTTAGTGTTCTGAGAGTAGCCACATCTGAGCTCTTACTGAGTAGTTCTGTTGTATTTTTCATAATATTTAGGACCAGAACTCATTCTATAGGTACTCCGTAAATACTTGTTGACTCATTAATTGAAGTGCATGCTTTCATACAGACATGTAGTTGCAGAGGTTAGTTAATTCATCCAGAGCCCACAATACAATCTTACCGTTTCCACTTTGTCTTCTTGACCATAAGCAGTAAAGAGGGTTTGGACCAGAGAAATAGCAAAATGATAATGGTGTTTTTTCAAAAGGCAGTATTTTTGTCTGGAAATTAAATAAAGTGTAAGGCATTAGACTCCAGGAGAATGTTGTACATAGATTCATATCATGCTTGTCCTTCCTTCAGAAGAAGTGGAGGTAGTAATGTTCCATTGTAACAACCCATACTCATGATTAACCAGCCATGCCTGGAGTGGACTAAAGTCAATGTTAAGATACTCACTGGAATGGAGGAGATAAATTTTTAAAAGTCACTGTCTTTTGTGCCTTCCAGCATCATTTTAGGTGTCCTTAACATACCATAAAGTCCTCCTTTCCTAAACTAAGACTGAATTTCAAACAATCATCAATTATTAAAATACCATGCTGGATCCTCATGCTGACACAGAGATTCTGCAGCCCAATACCTAGAAATGAGTAACTGTTAACTGTGTGGGTTCTTCTTGCAGGGTTCCGATTAGGCAATGTGGTACATGCTGTCCAGTCGACTGAGCAGAGCATTCATGCCACCGACCCAGTGCCCCGCTTATGCTTAACATTAGCCAACTTGAACCGTGTGGTTTATTTCATCTGTGACACCATTCTCTGGGTGAGGAGTGTGGGTCTCACCATGAGCATCAACAAAGAGAAATGGCAAACATGGGCCACCCGCCACTACTACTACTTTCTCCTGCTGAGCCTGGTCAGGGATCTGTATGAAATCTCCCTGCAGATGGGACGGCTTGCACATGACAGGGCAACAAGAGAGAAGTCATCCCAGAATCCTTTTGGGTACAGCTTGGCTGATGAAGAAACAAAATGGCTTCAGTCCTTCCTCCTTCTTTTATTCCGATCTCTGAAGCAGCATCCTCCCTTGCTTCTGGACACAGTGAAGAACTTATGTGACATCCTGATCCCCTTGGACCAGATGGGGATCTATAGGTCCAACCCAGGCATCATTGGGCTTGGAGGTCTTGTATCCTCTGTGGCAGGTATCATCACTGTGGCCTATCCTCAGATGAAGCTGAAGATCCTCTAGGGTGTTGGTAGGCTCAGGACCAGTGACTGTTTAAAGAAGACATCTTCATGAAACATTTACATCAGTCACAAATCATGTCATATCATGCTTATGTTTTTTGTTCACATGAATATTTATGACCTGTAATGTGAGCTGAGGTGGGGCCAAAAATGGAGCATGAAGATTTATGGTGTTTTTAGAGTGCTGGAATGACTTCTGAATTTCTGAATATTTTCCATTCACCTAACATTTACTGAGCATCTCTTATGTGCATAGTAGGCGCTTAGCATTTGCCACACGAATAAAAATTGAAAGGAAAAAATTGAAAAAGACCCGATAAAACTAATAAGTGAACACTAATATACGTATAGATTGGGTTATATGGATTATTGGTTTCACATGATTGTCATAGATCTGATGCACAGCACCTTCAGATTTGATAGCTATCCGCTTCTATCAGCTATACCTGCCTCCAAGATTGTCAGTAGCAGGATGGAGGGGAGCTGGGCTGAAAGCCTCCTCACCTGTTGGCCTTGACCATCATTGTACTTTTTTAAAAAAATATATTTTTAGTCGTAGATGGACACAATAACCTTTATTTTATTTTATTTTTTTCATGTGGTGCTGAGGATCAAACCCAGTGCCTCACATGTGGTAGGCAAGTGCTCTACCACTGAGCTACAGCCCCAAACAACCCCATCACTGTATTTTTGTCCTTTTGTTCATAAGTAGAATCAGAAACATATCAGGCACCTTCTTTGTGTAAATATGTCTGTGGGTAGAACCCTTTAATAATGCAGTGAGTAAGCAGAAATCAGAAGTAAACAAAAGAGAAAAATAGGTGGAAGGTCACATCCTGCCTATTATGTAGATTGTGACAGATAAGAAAATTGACCCTGAAAAAAGCAAATAAAACCTGGGTCAGGACATTCCTTTGACCTTCTAGTGTGAGTTCTGTGACAACTCACTGCCTTCATGATTGAGTACAAGTATGAGACTCCAGAATCCTGTGCTTTTGACCTCTACCCTTCTCAAATTTGGAACTTTTGATGATGGTTTATATTTTGTCCTACAAAACTAAAGCTACCTAGACTTGTCATCCAGATTATTTTATTTAAAACCATGTAACAGTTTGGGCAATTTCACATTAATTTTCATCAAAATGTATGCAGTCTAAAATTTTGTGACTATTCTTGTGAATGTAGGAAAACCATAATTTTCTTAGATCTTAGGGTCATTGAGGGAGCAGTAAGGGGCCAATAAAGAGGACACAGAAGCATTTACTTGTGTTCCTACTTATTTATAAATAATAAGTTAACTTATTTGTAAATCCAGGTCCTTTAGTTTGAGGGAAGAGAAGTGGAGAGATAGGGTGCCAGTAGGTAGGAGGCCAACACTAAAGTAAAGCCATGTCATTTATCTGAATGGAAATCAGAAAAATATGCACTGAGTAAGGTTCCCATAAATGTGATCGAGTTTTTTGAAAAGTAGACCCTGGTCCTTGGCGCTCTGTTATTCGTGTGTGTGTGTGTGTGTGTGTGTGTGTGTGTGTGTGTGTGTAGTAGGGCAGGGGTGCTAGGGATTGATCCATCCTAGGGTCTTGCACATCTTGGGCAAGCACTCTACCAGTGAGTCACATCCCCAGCCCTTTTTAAAATTTTGAGCAGTGTCTTACTGACTTGCCCAGGCTAGCCTCAAACTTTTGATTCTCCTTCCTCAGCCTCCCAAATAGAGATTACAAATGTGTACCAGTGCACCCAGTGACTGGCTGTTTTTAATCTGATCAGTCAAGATAAGAGATTTGAGCTGGGTATGGTGGTGCCCACCTGTAATCCCAGCAGCTCAGGAGACTGAGGCAGGAGAATCACAAGTTCAAGGCCAGCCTAGGCAATTTAGTGAGGCCCTAAGCAACTTAGAATCTGCCTCAAAATGTGGCTCAGTGGTTAAGTGCCCCTGGGTTCAGCCCTCGGTGCCAATAAATAAATAAATAAAGGAAGTTTGACAAAGAATATTTTGGGAGTTTTAAGAGAAATGAAAGCTGCTAAAGCAGGGCAAATAAAAAAGTTTAAATAACTGTTTTTTAATCTTGTCCAGATTCCCTGCTGTAAGAGATTAATTATGCCAAATAAATTTCTAGACAAAACTGATTCATGTATCTGTAAATAAGTTCTGGGATTAGAAAAGAGTTAACAGGAACACAGACAGTCCCTGAGCTCTGGGCAGGGAGATGAAAGCTGAGAAGGTGGACTACAGGGAGGTTTAGATGTGGAGGTCCTGGGTTGAGAGGTTCCGTCTAAGAAGCTCTAACCACATTGCTATCCTGGAGCGGTGCTTGAAGCAGCCTGGTGCTATGGCCTCTGCCTGAAGCACACTGCCTTGAGCTCATGGGGGCATGTTTCATTGATTTCAATCTTGGTGACTTTGTCCTCTGCAAGGAGAGTGGGTAGTGGGAAGTTGGAAAAATGTCATGTCTTCTAGAATTTGCATGGACCATGGTGTCCTGGTGTCCTCCCTGTGCATCTTTCTCCTTCCAAGCTAGCCCTCCCACCCTAAGCCTCCACATTCATGAGGGTTTCCAAATACCCACAATTTCCCTAATAGACATACAGGCCATCACTTTCACAACTGACATTGTTGCCTGAAAATTTACTTATTCAGCAACAAATATTTTAATCCATGCTTGTCTTGGAGTTGGGGGATTCACCTGTGAACAAGATTACCAAGGTTCCAGCTCTTTTGGTGGTGGAGAAGGAAGCTAGAGCTCCATGTCTTGACGACTGCTACTGGAGGCTGCCTCTTCTTCCTTTGGGATTTTCCTCAGCCCTTTCACCACTCTTTACCTCTCACCCACATTCTAGAATCCCAGCTGAAGTGGCTAAAAGCCCAGCTTTGTCAGCAGAGCTTTCAGGCACAGAGCCCTCTACTCCCTCTGGCCCAAAGCCACTACTCCTGAGGCTGAATACTGCCCTTTGGCCCAGGTTGTCACCCAGACACAAAGCCCCAGATAATTTGTCCTGAACCTTGAAGTGAGGACAGAGTGCACCTCTTTAAAACGCTTCCTGTCCTCTCCATTACTATCTTATATCAGAGATGTTCAGATTGGATCAAGAAGTATTAAATGTATCACAAAGTTATTACTCCTTTTAGAGGCTCTCTGCTTGATTATCTTTTCCTTTTTATAACTTCTCATTCTTACTTTATTATAGAAACACCCTTTAGTACCAAAGATCCATCATAAAATACTGTTTCACTCCACGCCTGCCCCTTTCTCCTGTTTCCATATCATACAACTTAGCAGAGTCAATACGTGTATTTCTGCCAACAACAGGGAAAATAAGTGCTGTCCTTCTATTATCCTATTATTGTTATTAGGTCTTTCTAAGTTGTCCATGTTGGTCTTGAACTTGCAATCCTCCTCTTTTAACGTCTGAGTTGAGATTACAGGCATGGGTCACCTCTTTGGGCCCTATTATCTATTTTTATTTAAGGAGCCCTTCTTAGACAATCTGAAGACACTGGCTTGCACCCTGTCCTCCATCATCTTGGAAGCCAGGAACTAGAACTTGAGTTCTTGCTGAGGAAAGTATGACCCAGTGATAGTTCTTGGTTGTCCTAGTGCTGTTGGTTGGTGATAGAATCTTGTCAATACTGTCATTCTCTAGACTCAGAAGAACAAAACCTCTCTCCCACTGCCCATTTTGGTGGCATCTTAGGCCAGGTAAAGTTCAACACATTTCCTTGGACTCTAGGAATTTACAGAGGTTGAAATTGCTCCCTCAAAATCCATATTCTCAAGGACTTGACCCCAGCTCCATCTCATTTTTACTGAGAGCATTTATCTCCAATAATCAAAGACTAGCACAGTCAGTCCCAAGAGGCCTTTGCGTCTCAGTGCAGGTTTAAGTCATACTTTTCAATATTCACTTTTTTTTCCTAGAGAGAGGAGAGAGAGAGAGAGAGAGAGAGAGAGAGAGAGAGAGAGAGAATTTTTAATATTTATTTTTTCAGTTTTCGGCAGACATAACATCTTTATTTTTATTTTATGTGGTGCTGAGGATCAAACCCAGTGCCCCACGCATGCCAGGCAAGCGTGTTACCGCTTGAGCCACATCCCCAGCCCCATCAATATTCACTTTTGAAATAAATAAGAAAGCATCAGACAAACTGAAAATTGTCCAACAGGACCCTCGTGGGGAAAAGGATCAAAGATTACAGAATAATTGGAATTTTAGAGCTTTTTGATTTAATGACATATGTGTTAATATCTTGTTTATGAAAAGCAAAAGTTTGTCAACTGAGGACTGATGTTATAGAATTATTCCTCATGACTCTGGAATAATGAAGTCTCTGAGCCTGGGGTGTCCTCCAGCTCTGCAATCTACCTTCTCATTGGCTAACTATCCTTACAGAAGTTAGGGTGAGCCCAGGGGACCCTGGGTCAGATAGCCATGGCAACAGGCTGCTCCAACTTTCTCTTCTTCTCTGTCCTCTAGCTGAGAGGCCTGGTAGCATTGCCCAAGACTCCCTGGAGTGGCTGGAAGTGTTCCTGCCGAGGAGGCACTCCACAGTGTGGGCTCTGTGAGGCTGAGGTGGTGGTCAGTTACAGTGAGTGTGGGGATCCTGGGGGATTCTCCTTACCTGGCTTGTTTATGAGTATTAAAGGGAAGGAGTTGAGGGTAAAGGCCTCTTGGGACTTTTACTAGGGATGAAGAGACCTGCAGGGAAACTATTGAGGGAAAGATTCGAGGTGAATTACCAGGACTCTAGAGTAGCTGTTTGGTGGTCAATAGTTTTTTCCAGAACACAGCTGAAATAGCTAGTTTTATGAGTGACTGGTTACTTGCCTAGCTGAGTTATAGAGGGACACGATGCTTTCTTAGAAACAGAGGAATTAAACCACAGTTTTTTTTGTTTGTTTGTTTTGTTTTTTATAAAGGAGTAAACCTAAAACTTATTCTTTTAGTCTCTTTTGGATCTTCATTTAAGAGCCCTGTACTTCATCTAAAACCTTTTATCTCTCATGGCCACCTGCATTTTTTCATTTCTTATCATAAACCTTTATAAGAAACATGGTGTTGACAAGTAGGTGAGAAGCAACTTGGTGCTCTGGAACTCTAAGAAATGACAATCTGTGCCCCCAGACAGCCTGGGTCCAGTGGGTGGCCATGGGAGGTAAGAAACTGCGGATTGCAAGCCTGCGGGCCTCTGACGGACCTGGGACTTTCTGCTTTGCAGCGTGAAGAACTAGGATGGCAGTCAACAAGGGCCCAACCTTGCTGGATGGAGACCTTCCTGTGAGTAACTTGGGCTCTTGCGGGGTGGGGAATGGACACCTGATGGGAGGAAGGAGCCAGGAGGGAGATTCAGGGGAGCTGGAGCAAGATATGTCTAAACTAGGTCATTGACCATGTTTCAGTTATTTCTGCTCTCACTACCTTTTGCAGAGGGCTATGGAAGGCTCTGGAGGGGGAAAAAATATCAATTAAAAACTAAGCCCTTGGGCTGGGGTTGTACCTCAGCACTAGCACACTTGCCTGGCATGTGTTAGGCACTGGGTTCGATCCTCAGCACCACATACAAATAAATAAAGATATTGTGTGTCCATCTCCAACTTAAAAAAAATTTAAAAAAAACAAACCTAAGCCCTTGGGGGGGAAAAAAGGACACAAATCCTGGCTGGGGGTGGGGAAGAATAGAAAGGAAGGGAACTACCATATTCTAAACCCTGCTGCATACGTCCCTGTTTTGTTCACCACCAGCCAGCTGAATGTATTCATGCAGAGCCACTGCAGTTTGTGACTCCAGCATCATTTATACTATGAATGATTCATCTAGTTCACAGCTGTTGTGATTTTCACTGTGACTTGGAGTGATTTTGATCCTTTTAGGTGTGCCTGATGCCTCTTGGCAAAACCTCTATTATTTGGGCACAGTTTAAATGGTTAGTGAAACTTAAAAATTATAAACCCATCTCATCACCAATTAGGCTTCAATTAACCTCTGCACAAGGGTTCACATGCTAAGTTTTATACTGAAGCCCACAACACAGAGAGGCATAAAATGGTCATATGCAGTAATATCTTAACAGTTTTCCTCCTTTCCGAGCATCTGCTTCTCCCTTTGGTTTTGTCTCAAATAACCCTTTAAGACTCTGTCCAAAATGTTAAAGAAAATACTTTTTTGTGTCTTATCCAAGTCTTTTTCTAGTTCCGGTTTACAACTCACCATCAGGATGAAAAGCTAAAATACTGTGGCCTGCTCTGTCCAGTGTGTCCTTGATGGCCCTGCTAACTTAGCATTAGGTCCTCGCTGCTAGGACAGAAAGAATCCTGCCACAGCGGTACATTCGAAGCTACGCAGAGTTTGAGCATGAGTCACATCTGGGGTGTTTTTAATCTGGAGAATTCTTATGATCATAAGACTAGGTAGAAGAATATAGTAAGGCCCTATGCACCCTTCACTAGCATGAATCCACAGCCAAACTACTTCATCCTCACCCGTATCAATTCACCTTACATTATTTTAAAGCAAATTCCAGATATGCCATTTCAAGTCTGACTTGGAATCCTGACTCTGTCAATTACTAGCTGTGTGATCTTAGGTAAGTCATTCACATCTCTGAGTATGTCTCCCTGTCAGCAAAGTGATGGTGATAATGCTGAATCACAGAGTCACTGGCAAAAAGGACAGTGCTAAGCTGTAGCATATCCAGAGAAGGGGGTCACCATACCATGGTGTGGAGCAAGTTAGGAACTGGAGCTATTTTATTTAGTACAGAGAAGTAACTTTCAAAGGGAGACATATTTGACTTCAGATATGAGAACACCAATCCATGAATGATGAAATAGAATAGTTCAGAGTTGTTTCAGAATGAAGAGAATAGGATGGGGAGGGGGTGAAATGGATTGCAGTTACAATTGCAAATGCAAGACTAGCAAAGAAATTCTGGAAAGGCTTCTTGCCACAGAGCCTCCTGGAGGCCAAGCTTCCCATTCTGGGCGCACAACTTAGGCATTCTACAAGGTGCACCTCTGTGATCCATTTCTTTGGCTAGGACTGAGAACACAGAGTGCACAGTCTACTGGGAGAGAGAGTAACAAGTACCCAGGGAATCACAGCACAGTGACATCAATACAGAGACAGCCCA